TATATAGAATAGATTCTGCATAAATCTCAAAAAGTCGAAATACCTCAAAAATCCAAAATCAATTTTGGAAACATGTACTGTACATATAATTTGAAAACCGAATGGTTCAGAGTACATAGGCATAACATGTCTTAAATACGGAAAAAAATAAGTAGTGCGCGAAAATAAATGGTACACGTGCACAAATAAAACATGAAAATAAGCACAGACGCGATTAGATGTAAACCATGTTTTATTGACTTTTTATTAAATAAAGGAAATAAGCAGTGCAGTTTTCTAGTCGCGTTTGATATACGGTCACACGATTTGTCACGCAGATCAGGGATCAATCTGGTCTAATGTAACCATCCTTTTTTTTAATATTTCTTCTTAATATTCCCTCCAAGCACACGAATTTCCATCGCCACGTATATATCTGTTTTCGGTCTTGGTTCGATCAAAAATTTCTTAAATTGGGTCCAGACAGTTAGGCTGATACCTGTGAATTTTAAAGAGTTCGAGCCTGCAATCGAACGTGTGGTTATTTTATAATAAAATATGTTAGCTGAAGTTATGGAATGAGTCTTCGACTCTATGCTCCGCATATTCTAATACACGTAAATCATGATTTCGTTTTCCTTACCAAAGAACTTTCATAAGAACTTGCTGACTAAAAACTTGCAGAAGAAATTTCAGATTGGTCGGATCCTCTCCTACCCATTCCTTGAATAATTGCATGGCGTTGAATAATTCCATTTCGGAGTGATGCGATAATTCCACCGATTGATTCGAATTCAGTGGCAATTTGATTAAAATATTTTGGTAGGTTTCTAGAACCTGCTCAACATCATTATATTTCCCGTTTAAACCATTAATCATAGAGATAATATTTTGTGCTTCTGTTGAATAATTAGCATCACGGAAATTCAGATCGATTTTGATCCTGTCGATTTCTTCGACGATTGTATTGATCTTTGGTATCACGAGAGTTTGTCATTGACGATTCTTTTCCTGACACCACACAAAAAGAGCCACATAGCGACGAACCCCCACATAAGTGGATATTCTCCGGGAACATCTTTGCAATGGCAAAAAATGGAGAAGCAGTTATAGCCATAAAAGGCATGTTTTCCGAGACGTCAAATGAATACATATATGCAAAGAAAATCTGATTAGAAAATTAATCATGGGGATGTGCGGGTATTTTAAATCAAGTGAAGATACCTTATTTTAATTAAAGATAAGTAAAATTAAGTTCGATGAGTTTATAAGACTTTTGTTAATTGTTACGTATTATTTTATTATTTTTTGATTTTGTAAAATGAAACAGCAGAAAAAAAAATTATAACTTTTATAAGACTATGTTTCGATCATCGTTTATTTCACGCAAAGTGTAGAAGACACTAGAAATATTTTTATTTAATAGTGGTCGTAATCATAACAATAAAACATATATTATACAACAAATATAGTATTAGTGCTTTTTTTTTTTTACTTGTACAAAGTTATTGATAGCACGTATATTCTTGAGATCACAGACTAAGAATGAACATTAATTCGTATCCGCTCATTTGTTCCTAATTACCCGTACACGTTTCCCTCTATCGCTTTGGGTGAATGAAACATCATATTGACACCTATGTTGTCCACTATGTAGAGAAAATCATATTAGTTTAGATGGTAAGTGGTGGCTAAATAATCGAGGTAATAAATATTATTATTTAAATTGCGATAAAATCAAATATCCAAGAATTCCACTTGATGAGGTGTTAGAAGCCTATTCCGAAAATATAGGACTGATTTCAGGAATGTACTTGGAATCAAATTACATTAAAAAAAAAGGAATACAAGAAATAACCAAGGGCAATTTAATAGGTCGATGACGGCTATATTATGACAACAGGGAAGTATACCAACAGGTAAAATGCTAATCTGCAATTTAACTTTTAAATATTTTTAGTGGAAGTTTGGAACTAATCATCAAGGAACAAATACTTCTACTATATGTATTAAACCTGATCTCATCCAATATTCCAATTGCAGAGGTATTCTGGGAGATATAAATCATGTGTTCCACCTCCCCTCAAAGAACAAAAAATTATTAATTTCTGTAGTAATTATTACAATCAGCACAATCTGGTTTTATTATAATAGTCTTTGCTTTACTATTATGAATAATTAATAATTTGAAGATTTTAACATTAATATGCAATGCCATAGATATATTCAAACCAAAAGTTATTGTACTGTTAATGTGACAAAAATTACTTCATCCGAAAATAGTATTCGGCAAAAATCGCTTTCGTTTTAATTAGAATAGCTGACGTTAAAAATTGTAACGTACAACTGAATTGTTCTAAGTTATGTTTGATATTACGAAGACCCATATGTAATCATTCCAGAGAAAACTTTGAGAATTGGGTCATTTCAATAAACTAAACAAGGACCTTTATGACTTTTTTCACACCTTGGCAAAGTTTCAAATCATTCCCCAAGGCATTGTCGTCGTCAATGTAAATACTATATCTTTTTTGTAAACGGTAAAATTTTTCAGGAGTATACAAGATGAAATATCATACAGTAATAAGTTGAGATTGCTATAAATATCAGTTTATATGTACCTTAATATGATAGATATTTACAAATTATATCTGTAGTAACCAAATGTTTCGTTTTATTGATTTTTTTTGATGAGAAGCAGTACTTTCGTCTCATGTAGATCAATCTCATGTTACAGGAATCACATGATCTGAATATATTTTTTTATAATTATAACTTTATCAATAGCTGTACAAATGTAATAATATTTTAATTATAATGCAGTAAGGCAAATAATCATTTATTTCTAACGGGTGACTCTAACTTTATTATTATGCGTACACGTTGGATTAGATTAACCAAAATTATTAAAGGCGGCCCAGATTTATTAAAATTCTTACGTGACCAGGTCATTGGTACACGAACGATCCCCAACCCTGCTCTAGATAAAGTATATTTTGGGGGGTTGTTAGGATATCACGTTGTTCCGCATAAACGCAACAATCAGATTGGTTCCCAAAATTCTTAATATCCCGAGTTAAAAAGTCTTCGCACGTTTTTTTCGGTTGTTTATTTAAAAAAAAAACAAGTCAGAACATCTTTTACGTAAAGATAGAAATATTATTGAGATTTTTTTTTTTTAACTTAAAATATACTGCAAGCTTAAAATGAACGAAATGGCCGAAGGAGAACAAGAACTAACCAGCCAAGGAGAATTTATATCAGTTGACGAACCCAAAGTCGTATCTAAGTCAAAGAAAAGAAAACACGAGGTTACTACGCATACAACACCAATTGAAAGACCTCGGCGACAGGCGCGTCCGGTTGTTCCTTATGGCTCTCAAATTCCGGAGACAAAGTCACGTATGAAGAAGCCCATTGAAGTTGGACAAGGTGAAGGCATCCCTCTTGGTCAAATACCACCAATAGTCCGGGCTATTGATAAACTTAAAACGACCGATGATATCATCAAAGGTTTACATAAGTTACTTTACGGTCGGATCGGGACAAAACACGATATAAAATCTCATATTCGCGCGTTTTCCGGATTTGTCGTTGGAACACCGGTCGACGAAATGGTTTTTAAAGAGAAACTTGAAAAATGGAAGATAGCTGGATTGAAGGAAATCTGTTCATTATTTAACCTTAAATCCTCGGGTGACAAGGCATCGATCGTTGAACGACTTTTCGAATTCTTGAAGAAGCCATATGACACCTCAACTGATAAAGAACGTAAATTAAACAAAAAACCCACCGCGAAAACTACTAAAAGATCCGTATCAACGAAGAAAAAAACACCTCGAGATATATATTTCGTCAAACAAAGAGAAATTTTTGAAGCGAAAGATGATAATGAATCTGCAACTAGACAAGAAATTCAAAAACAAATGTCCGAGGCTTGGAATGAATTATCCGAAAAAGAGAAAAAACCATATATTTCTTTAGCCGAAAACGCAAACAAATCAATCGAGGTTTCCACGGTATGATTGTCATTGATGATAATAATTTAAATGTTCAGTTATAATAATAATAATTTGGTAACATTGTTTTAAATTTATTTAACTTAGGCTTCGTCCAATACCATAACATCCAAAAAAGAAGATAATGAAGAGAAAGAAATTAAAAAGTCTAAAAAATCACAATCTACTAAAAAGAACGATAACGCAGAACCAAAGAAAAAACGGGTACGAAAATTAATAGATTTTTTTTTTATCAAACTTTCTATTAAAGGAATTGTATTAAAATATTAATAATATAACATTAAATATTACCTTAATAGGTTTCAAGGACGAAAATCAAGTCACCCGAGATTGTGCATAGTGAGGATGAGCTGGAAGACGAAGGAGAGATAAATGAAGCTGTCAAAAAACCAAACGAAGAAAAATCGACAAATGAAGATTCAAAGAATCTTGAAGAAGGGTCAGAATCGGATGAATTAAGTGATGCACTTGATGAAATTGAAGATGAAAGTGATAATGATGATAATGATGAACCACCACTTAAAAAGGTCAAGAAATAAAAATTACTGCGAAGAGGAATAGTAATAGCTTAAATCACTTAATCTTGAATTCGATTAATGTTCATATGACATTATTTTTTAAGTTTACATATCCAACAAATACGTATGTACATAAATTTGTTCTCGAGAACGAATTTATTTTTCCTAAAATGGAAATAATTCGTTTGTTTGCTATATTAAAAATAAAATTGCATACTTTTCTCAAGCATTCTTTCAATGTGATTTTTCTAATATTCGCTTAGTATATCCGTAAACAAAAAAAGTAACAGCGCTAGCAAATGCACTTTTTACAATTGCGGGAGACAATCCTTTATAGAGTCCCAAAAAACCATCTTCTTTACATATTTGTTTTATACAAGAAATAATGGAACTAGCATAAAGAGGTATATTTTTTATCACATATTTCGATCGATCAGGACCTTGTATTTGTAGTCGTTTTCGTAATAAGTCAAGCGGAAATACCCCTGTTTTACCTAATGTTCCGGCCATTGCACCGCTTATTAAATCTTCGCTTCCTTTCAAATTATTGAACCGTAAATTATTTTCCTAATGATTAAAATTTAAATTAAAAGGTTTGGAGATTTTTACAATTTCTTTTTTTTATAATTTTAATTAATTAATAATTGATCGTTACCTCAAAACGCTCAAGACGTTGAAATGATTTCTTGAAAAATTCATAACTTCCAAACGTTAAACTCATATATGGGATTATCTGTATAATAGATGCCGAAATCCCTCGATAAAATCCGTAGAATCCTTCTTGAGAACGAATATTTTGTATTGAATGGATTATTCCCTCGTATATCTGAATTAAAAACAAATCAAATGAAGTTCCTTTATGAAATTTCTTGCATTAATATATTAAGAGGGAGGAACTTTATCAAAAACTAGGAAAGCATTTAAACCTTTTTATCTCCTTGTGCAGCAAATCTTGTTCGTAATAAATCGAATGGATAAGTAACAACGGTAGCGGTCGTTCCGCAAACAGCACCACTTATAAACGGTTGTAATGTTTTTGTCAAAAATCAATTTATTATTTGGCCTTTTTTCAATGAATTTAAATAAATCCTGCATTTTCTGATATGTTAAAAATTGGACAGCACCATAAGATATATAAAGATATTCAGCCGATAGATTACCCTTCCATAAACCCTGTAAAAATGAAATTTTAATATATATTAATAATATCATTTAATATATTTTAAATTAAAAAAATGTGATAAAAGAAATTTACCCTAAGCCCTTCCTCTTGAAATATTGTGAATAAAGCGTGCCGAATTCCATTATACTTTCTGTCAATACTGATAGTTCGATGTTTAGAACGAAAGTTAAAATTCGGTCGACCTGGTTGGAGCTTTTTATGTAATTATTAGTTTCTAGTTATTTTTTACATAAAAAACATGTCAAAAAAAAAAAAGAGTAAACCCGGAATATTACCTGTAGACGTATCTTAATAACGTCTAGCGGAGCCACTACAAATCTTAATATGAATTAAGCAAATAATGAAATTACAACAAACTCGTCATTTCATTAAAGTTCAATGTACCTTGAAAACCCTCCTGCAATAGCTCCGCATATACTTGTTTCAAATGAAGATAACTTTGGAGGTACGTAGGCTTTTACTTTTTTCGTTTGGTTATCTTGATAATTGTTCATTGAATTTTATAAAATCAAATAACTTTAACTCTTCGAGTATCATATGATTTTATTATTGGAATTGATATTCTAACATTAAAATCCTGAATTAAATATACCAAAGTTACTATAAAGTACTATATGCTTCATTTATAACTGGAATTGTATATTCACCATTATTACTTCCCTGAGAAATCAATAACATTCTTATTTTGAAATATTCTTTAAAATGTAACCATTTATTTTTATTGAATAATAATAATAATACATGCAAATAAAATGTCAAATGATATAAATGATATGATATGATTAGAAAGAAAAAAAAATAGATTAAAAAGTATTTACAAAAAATCAAAAATAAATACCAAAAAAAAAATTTTTTTTAATAACAATAAATAATCTATTATAAGAGAAAAATAAATTTAAAAATATAATTTAATTAAATAATAATTTAAAATAATAATTTAAGAATAATAATTTAAAATAATAAATAATAATAATTTAAAAATAATAATTTAATTAATTATTCTATTCATCGTTCTCTTCCGTCTCAACATCAATAACATCAATATCAATATCAAGTTCTTGTCGAAGTTTTCTGACTGCTTCAATAGAAACATTATGACATTCATCAATTTCTAGGGTTTTTTTTAAGGTTCCTGCCCAATATTTTGCAATCAATTCCAAAATCTTGTCATTAATTGAGTCTGAAAACATCACCGTCAATGATTGAATATATTTACACCCTTTCAATAATGTAACGAATGAATCAAATGAAAATTCATAATTACTTATGTTTAATATTGTTAAATAAGGACATTTGTTACCAATGCATATAAGTAAATTAGATGAATCATAATCCGCCATTTCAACTGATTCAATCTCTAATCTTGTTAAGGATTTTCCAATAGTATTTACGAGATAACACGTAGCATTTAATTCTTCCGGAAGAATATTTCGTTCAAAGGCACAAAGATTCGTGGCATTATTAGCAAGTGCCATTATTCCATCTGATAAATTTTCATTCACATATCCTCCCTCTCTTAAATGTGTCGGTCGTATTAGATGTACACGACGTAAGGTTGTCGAGGATTTCTTCGCAATTTCAACGAGTACATCAACTGGAAGTGATGTTTTGGTAAAATCCACATTATGAAATTCACAATTTTTGGCAATTGGCATCAATAATTGTGATAATGTTATTCTTGGTGAAAAACTATCAATATCTCGCATATAAATTGAACGAAGATTAATGCATTCAGCAATTCCTGTGAGAGGAACTGTACAATTTTCTAAATTACAATGTAAAATACGAAGTTTCACAATGGTTTTGGCTTGAGATCTTATTTTGTCTAAAGTTTGCCGAAGATCTTGTGCATATCGAATTTTAAGTTTCGTCAATTTTTTTTGGGAGGATATGAAATTTGCCAATGCATCATCTGAACAACTATGAGCCGTAATTTTAAAAGTTTTAAGTGATGTACAATTCTTAGAAAGAATTAATAATGCTTCATCCGTACATTTAAAATATCCTAAATTTAAATATTCCAAATCTACTGAAAGTCGATTAAAAGTTTTGGCGAGATATTCTAAATGATCCAATTGTATTGGATATGATGGATTCGTAGAAGATTCTGCAAAGGTACATCCTTTAATTCTTGCTTTATCAACAAATAATTTAAGGAAACTCAAAAAATATTTTTCAATTTCACCATTAACACTTTCATCTTCGTGAGTCGCTTTATACCATATTTCTACACATTGATATAATGCTGGTATATGCAAATTTTTGGCTAATTCAATATAATCGTATTGAGGAAGATAAATGTTATTGATTGTAATAGAATTATTATCAATAGAACGTATTCTCTTATGTTGTCCTCTATTGTTATTATATTCAGAAGTTTTGCTTGAATGAACTTGATAACATAAGTGATATGTGTCTATTAATTTCTTTGCAACGAAATTATTCTTTGACCGATATATCCAATGTTGCCAAGGATCCCTGTAAAGATAAGGAGTTGCAACCACATTCCACTATTATGAAGAAAAAAAAAAAAAAAAAAAAAAATTAAAATAATGTTTTTTGTAAACCACCTTTACTTCCCTTCACTATATTTACAAAGCGAAAGACTGACCTGTTTATCTAAAAGTGCACAATTATATAATAAATATGCCCCCGAGCTTTCTTCAGTGAAATTTTCAAAGAGGACCCTTAAGCAATCGCTATTTAATTTTGACATATTTTTTTAAAAATATTTATAACAAAATTTAATTACATCTATTGTTGGAACGGAAAAACTTTTTTTTTTGTCGGTCTTTTGAATTTTTAATTTTTTTAACTCTCTTTAAGTTATTAGATCACGCTTAATCAAGCTGATTTGCTATAGTTAGACGCCAGAAATTGACTAGATATGCAAGATTAAGTTGTGCTACGTTCAATTAAAAATTATAAAAATTCATTTATTACGCCATCGTTTTTTTTTTTATGAAATTTAAGCTCGATTTACATTTCTTCATAATAAAATCGCAAGTTTGATTATTTTGCGTAAAGTATTTTGTTATGAAGTTTGGACATCATTTGAAAACTTCTCTTTATTCAGAGTGGACTTTTCACTATCTTGCTTATGATGAACTTAAAAGTGAATTAAAAAAAAGAACTCGTGACGGTCAATGGAATGAACAAGACGAGGAATCTTTTGTTGAGTTATTGGAAAAAGATTTAGATAAAGTTTACACTTTCCAAAAGGATAAGTCAATAGAAATCAACAGGAGGATTCAAAATTGTGAAAAAGAAATTAACGACATTAAAGATTCTGAGACCACAACAGAAGAAAATTTTGTCACGCTCGAAGAAGAATTATCGTTAATAATTGCTGACGTTCATGACCTTGCTAAATTTTCTCGTTTAAATTATACTGGTTTCCTGAAAATCATAAAAAAACATGATGTAAATAAAGAAGGTTTTTTCATTAAGTCATCAAGTTATTTAGTAAAAAGTTATTTATTTTTATATTTTATTTTTAGAAACAAACCAAATGGGTTCTTAAACCTCAATTTATGGTGCGATTAAATGCCAAACCTTTCTATAAAGAGGATTATGACGCGTTGATTGTAAAGTTATCGCGTCTTTATGATATCGTTCGAACTCGTGGTAATCCCGTTAAAGGGAATTCAGCTGCTGGGGGACAACAACAAAACTTTGTCCGAAACACAGCAAAGTATTGGGTTCATCCTGATAACATAACTGAACTTAAACTTCTCATATTGAAACATCTTCCGGTTTTAGTCTTTAATCCTAATAAAGAATTCGAAAAGGCCGATTCGGCTATTTCTTCAATTTATTTTGATAATGAAGATTTCGAACTTTACCTTGGTCGATTAGAGAAAACTGAAGGAGCCGAAGCGATACGTTTAAGATGGTATGGTGGAATGGATACTCGTGAAATTTTCGTGGAACGTAAAACACATCGAGAAGATTGGACAGGAGAAAAATCGGTAAAGGAACGTTTCCCCATGAAAGAAAAATATGTGAATAAATATCTTAAAGGGGAATATACCCTCGACAAACAATTATCCAAGATGAAAGCCAAGGGAAAAAGTGAAAAAGAAATTGAAAATACAAAACGACTGAGCGAAGAAGTTCAATATCGTGTTATCACAAAAAAATTACAACCTGGTAAGTGTTATATGAGTATATTGAATCTAATTATAGATGTGTACATATTGAATAAATGTCATGACATATCTTTTGTATTTATTATTATTTTTTTTTTTTTTTAATTTAAAACCAGTTGTTCGAAGTTTTTATAACCGAACAGCTTTTCAATTACCTGGTGATGCTCGTGTTCGTATTTCACTTGACACGGAATTATCTTTGATTCGTGAAGATAATTTTGAAAAAAATCCCAGAAATCGGTGCGGTGATAATTGGCGAAGAACGGATATTGGTATAGATTATCCTTTTTCACAGTTACCAGAAAGGGATATTGAAAAGTTCCCTTATGCTATATTGGAAGTTAAGTTACAAACTCAATATGGTCAAGAACCACCACAATGGGCTCAAGAATTAGTAGAAAGTCATTTAGTAAGTTTATTATTTAATCATATTAATAATGTATTAGAATGTATCAGAATGTAGATTTATAATTTATAATTTTAATTTCTCAAGGTTGAACCCGTTCCCAAATTTTCGAAATTTATTCATGGCGTTGCGACACTTTTGGAAGACAAAATTCAACTTTTACCATTCTGGCTTCCACAAATGGGTGTCGATATTCGTAAACCATCCAGTAGTTTTCGTCTTCAACGTCCTCCTAGCTCTGGAAACCTACTTGAAGTTTTAGTTGATAATCCAAGTTCTGATACTGATGAAAACGCGAATGAAGGAACCCCTTTGACTTTGCGTCATAGATCTCAACCTTCAAATTCAGATGAAGATTCAGATATCGATGAAAACGCGGATGAAAGAACTCCTTTAATGTCACGTTCCAATGCAGATCAAAGTGAAAATCAAAATGCATCAAATTCTAATTTTCTTAGAGAAGTCCCAACAACTTACAGGGGTAAACGTATAGCATTTCCTGTACGTGTTGAGCCCAAGGTATATTTTGCAAATGAGAGGACTTTCTTATCTTGGTTAAATTTTACAGTAATATTGGGTGGTTTGGCAGTTGGGTTATTGAACTTTGGTGATAGGATAGCTATTATTGCGGCAGGAATGTTCACCGCGGTTTCAATGTCCGCAATGTTATATTCACTTATTATATATTATTGGCGAGCGCGTAAGATTAGGAAAAGAGATTTTGGTCCATATGACGATAGAATCGGACCTACATTTTTATGTATAGCATTATTGATTGCCACGATGTTGAATTTCAGATTAAAATTTCGAGAGGAACAACAATAGGATTTAATTTTCTTATTATTATTGTACATTATTTTATTTATTCTATTTTATTTTTTTTTTTAAAAAAAAAAAAAAAAAATTACGTAAATCAAACGCTTTTTGAACAATTTTCAAATTTATTTGTATAAAAATGTGTTAGATAACAGAAAAAATTGTTATCTGATAAATAATTTAAAACGTGTAAAAATTAAATATGTAATGATCGAAATTTTGCTTATCTGGTATATGATGATAAATCTTTTTTTAAAAAAAATTGATTGCGTAATTTACTTTTTTCAATAACCCAAATGTAAATATTTATTTTTAAGAATTTTTCTCCTTTTTTATTCATTATTCAACGGATTTTCTAAAGAATCGCACTTAACTCACGTATCATGAATTAAAATATTTCATAAATTCTTTTATTCCAAAAAAGATTGTGGCGCACATGAAAATAATATTCATGAATTTGATAACACGTGATCATGATTAGATCATCAGTCACGCCGTTTATTAGTTAAAAAAGGAAAAAAATTTTTTGTCTCTTATAGCCAATAAAGATGTCAACAAAGAAACTCTTAAAGAGACTTTTGTAATTATTACTAGTGGGAAGAAGCTTAAGTCACTCTTCATAGATTACTGGAAATATGATCTAAGCATGTAAGGAAGTATAAACAATTGGAATATTTATTATATCAATAATATACCTGGAATTTTCAAAATATAACACTGGTCAAAATAGGGAATATCGGACACCTATCATATGCCTATCGGGAGCCCGATAGGTATACGATAGGTGTCTGATATTAACAATTATGTAATATATCGGGCACCTAATTGGTGAGGTCGAAATACAGAAGTTCAGATACTTATCGGACCCATATCAGTTTCATATTGGACATTAATATTTTGACGTTTTATTCAAATTCATCATTCATATATTGGACACCTGGTTTTATTTATTTTTTTTATTGGATACATATCTTTTATAAATCGGCCATAGTATATCCTATATATTGGGCATGATATATCTTTATGTATCGGGTAATTTTTTTTCCTCTATCAGATATCTATCTGTACTTTTTATTTATATATATATATATATATTTTTACTTTTTACTGGTTGAAATAGGAAATATCGGACACCTATCGTATGTCTATCGGAAACCCGATAGATATATGATAGGTATCCGATATTAACAATTATGTAATATATCAGGTACTGTTATAGAATGAAAATATAATGATAAAATAATATTAAAAACATTTGCAATAATTTATAATAACCCTCAAAATAATATTTAGAATTTAATAATTACTTTTAACAAATATTTATAGTTTGTAGCACACATTAATTAGTCGTGAAATAGTAGTACAAGATCACGTGTTCACGTGATATTTAATTACATAAACATAATTATCAATTCATAACATTAATTAACATTATTTAACAATAATTATTAACATATAGTATTAATTAGTAACAAATATATTTAGTAAACAATAGTAACTAATAATAATAGTGCACAGTAAGGCACAGTAAGGCACAGCAATGGCACAGTAATGAAGATCATTAGATTTAGTTATAAAAAGGGACTGAAATTACCTTGTCCCTCTTTAGTTTATAATTTTATAATTTTGAATTTTGATAATTTGTAACTTATTTGAAATTGATAAATTTTAATTTTATAATTTGTAACTTCAAGATAAATACTTGTAAAAATTACCCTGCAATGGAATTAATAAAATAAATATTGGAAACATATAAATATAAAAAAAAAATAAAATAAAATATAAAAATAATTATTAAATGATAAAACATGTAGTTAATAAAGGAATAATGGATGTTATGGGATTAAATACTTGATTGTATAATTGTATAATGTTATT